TGGGGGAATGTATATGATTTATGATTTGTTTATGATTATGATTTGCAAAACCCAGACAGCAAAAAGTCTAAGGGGAACATTACACAAATGAATATGAAATATATGAAAATATTATCTAATAGATCACATAGTTATAAATAAAATGCTCAACAAATAATAATATAGAAATTAGGAAGAAATTAGGTTTGATGCAGGTATATAACCTGCACATCCACATACATGCAAAATATATATATATAAATAAAACCCAACTCTCCATTATAATTCAATTTAGCCAAGAATGTTATTGCAGTGGAGCAATTTATCTTCTTTGTTCAATGCCAATTCTTCCTCTTGGGAGGTGAGGCATCCGTCTTGAATTAAGTTTTATAGGGTGAAACTCCATCCCTCACCCCACAGCCTTCAGCCCCAGAATGAGTGACTCTCAGGATGGTTGATGTATCAGACTTTTCCAACTCAGAGAGTGGATTTTAATTTTGCATGCTTTAACTGCAAAGCCTGAGGAATATACACTATATTGCCAAAAGTATTGGGACGCCGGCCTTTACACGCACATGAACTTTAATGGCATCCCAGTCTTCGTCCGTAGGGTTCAGTATTGAGTTGGCTGCGCCATTTGCCTCTATAACAGCTTCAACTCTTCTGGGAAGGCGTCCACAAGGTCTAGGAGTGTGTCTATGGGAATGTTTGACCATTCTTCCAGAAGCACATTTGTGAGGTCAGGTACTGATGTTGGAGGAGAAGGCCGGGCTCGCAGTCTCCACTCTAATTCATCCCAAAGGTGTTCTATCGGGTTGAGGTCAGGACTCTGTGCAGGCCAGTCAAGTTCCTCCACCCCAAACCCGCTCATCCATGTCTTTATGGACCTTGCTTTGTGCACTGGTGCGCAGTCATGTTGGAACAGGAAGGGACCATCCCCAAACTGTTCCCACAAAGTTGGGAACATGAAATTGTCCAAAATGTCTTTTGCATGCTGATGCCTTAAGAGTTCCCTTCACTAGAACTAAGGGGCCAAGCCCAACCCCTGAAAAACAACCCCACACCATAATCCCCCCTCCACCAAACATTACACTTGGCACAATGCAGTCAGGCAAGTACCGTTTTCCTGGCAACTGCCAAACCCAGACATGTCCATCAAATTGCCAGACAGAGAAGCGTGATTCGTCACTCCAGAGAACACGTCTCCACTTCTCTAGAGTCCAGTGGCAGCGTGTTTTACACCACTGCATCCAACGCTTTGCATTGTACTTCTTGATGTAAGGCTTGGATGCAGCTTCTCGGCCATGGAAACCCATTCCATGAAGCTCTCTACGCACTGTTGTTGTGCCAATCTGAAGGCCACACGAAGTTTGGAGGTCTGTAGCTATTGACTCTGCAGACAGTTGGCGACTTATGCGCACTGTGCGCTTCTGTCATTTTACGTGACCTACCACTTCGTGGCTGAGTTGCTGTTGTTCCCAGTTGCTTCCACTTTGTTATAATACCACTAACAGGTGACCGTGTAATATTTAGTAGAAAGGAAATTTCACGGAACATCTGAATCCAATGTTTTAGAGTGTTGTCCCAATATTTTTGGCAATATAGTGTATGTACTTTAGTACTCTACTGTCTTTTTTGGGAGTTGATTATATTCTAAGGCAGGGGTCAGCAACCTTTTACACACCGAGTGCCATTTTTGAAACCATCAGACAACCGGGTGCCAGTGAACAACAGCGCTCCATAGTGTTAGTTAGATTTTCATTTTTACAGTATACCTGCAGGGTGATCCTTCAGCTCTCTCCACTGCGATCTGACTCCTGATGAAACTGGGCAGGGAACAGATTTTGCTGCTGTACGTCTGACATGTGAGGGAACCGCCAGGGACTGCAGGCGGGAGATCGGGCAGACCGCTGAGAGCCTCCTCAGCGCGCCTTTGCAAGCCAATGAAATGCAGCAATGTCAGAGGTGGGTGGGCGAATCAGGTAACTGACAGCTGCTCACACGTGCCAGCAGAGACAGACTCGCGTGCCATGCCGGGCACGCGTGCCGGGGGTTGCCGACCCCTGTTCTAAGGTTTAAAAGAATGTGTACTGAACTTGTAAATTTTTCTTCACTAAAAAAAATACTTTTTAAAAAAAATATTTCATTTAAATATGAAATATTGTGTGCTAATATTAATATAGCAATAACATGAATTGCATGCTTTTATATATTTATCAGATACAAATCAGAAATGTCTTTCAAAGTTTCTCAGTTTGTTCTATGCTTTATCAATTAAGCTTCCCTTTAGCTTGTCCACCACTCCCACAACATTCTACTAGTCACTCAGACTCTCAGAGAGAAATGGCTAAGTTCCTAATCAACTGGAAGACCTAAACTTAATTCATCATTAACCACTTGCTTGCCAGAGCAATTTCTTACATGTGCACACACATGATAAAATCTGCATGTTTGGCTAGAAAACAGCTTCAGAACCCCAAACAATGATATATTTTCTGAAAGTAGAGGCTCTGTAGAATAAAAAGTAGGGATGCACCGATACCAATACTACTTGTACTCACCCAAATGCTCCCTATACTTATCCCAATACCGGAACATCCAGTATCAGGAAGCTAGGTGGCGAGTCATTACACACCGCCCGGCTTCCTGTTTGGCAGAGAAACTGGCTCCATGCTCCCAAGTCACCAGGGATCATGGAGCTGGCGAATTCCCGGCCAATCAGGAAGCTGGGGGTGGGTTATGATTTGCCCCTCCAGCTCCGGCTTCCTGATTGGCCTGGAACCCGGCTCCATGCTGCTCCCTCGTTACTTGGAGGGAGCATGTAATGACTTGCCATCTGGCTTCCTGATTGGTCAAGAAGCTGGCCAATCAGGAAGCCAAGAGGCGAGTCATTACCCGCCCCCCGGCTTCCTGATTGGCCAGAAAGTGTGCTTCATGTTTCTTCATCACGTAGTAGCGAGGGGGCATGGATTCGGCTTCCCGGCTAATCAGGAAGCCGGGCGACAAGTCATTACACACCACCCGGCTTCCTTAATGGAACTTCCGGTATCGGTATTCGGTATCGGCGAGTAGCAAAAAAAAAATAGGTACTCCTACTAAATACCGAAAAAACAGTATTGGTACATCCCTAATATCCAGCCTTTACCAATTCTTTCTGGCTTTGGTCATGCCTGGGATGGTAAACGCGCCCTTAAAGTGATATTAAAGGCAAACATTTTTTTCCCTCCCCCCATGTAAATGTTAGCACTTACCTTAAATGATGTCTCTTATTCTGGTCTTCCTCTTCTTTCCCCATGTTTTCATGTGTCCCTCCAGCGGTGTGGCGTCACTCCGATCCAGCGCTGACTGCTCTGTCCCTCCGATCCAGCGGTGCCTGCATGCGGGTGCGTCCATAGACTTACCTTGCGTCTCTGCTCGTCTCCCGGCCGAGAATCGGAACTGCGCATGCGCCCGCCCCAAGATCCTTTGCGGCTGTACGAGCAGTTCCTGATTCTCGGCGCGGGAGCGAGCAGCGATAACGAGGTAAGTTTAAAATGATTTCAAGCGTTTTTGGTTTTTTTTTTACACTTCTTGCCTATATCTACTGCTTGCTAGCAGTAGATATAAGCAAAAAAAAAAACCGGAGGGTTTAGAACCCCTTTAATCTTATTTAGATGTCACACAGTTCATCATTCTGCAGAGAACAATCAAAGGCATCTTCCAGAACCATTGCTTCCTGGTTGCTTAAAACTGTCCAGAAGGCTTACAAGATTTAATATGTTTTTGCCTCTGAAAAATTCTTGGGATTGTTTCATCAAAGTAATGGTAGCTTCCTGGGCAGCTTTCTGCAAGGTTTTTCCGGAGGCAATTTGCAAGGCAGATGCTTGGTTTTCTGTTGGCGCAGTTATCAGCCACTACAGAATAGATCCAACTTAACTTACCATTGCTGAGTTTGGAAGAAACATAATTCAACTTTTCTCTGCACGTGTTGCACAATTAATTTCTTTAAATTGATTTTCATTCCTTGAGACTTTTTGTGCTAGAAAATTCCCTTTATATGCTGGCATGATGCACCAAGAAAATGAAAACATATTTTTCTTGTGCCTCTTCGTCACAGCATAACTTCGCACCCTAAATGTCATGAGAGGGAGTCATAATAGTTTTTAAAATGGTGGTAAAGTTAGGGCAAGAAATTAAATAGCTAGCCAGGCCTATGAGGTGGATGGGAGTGTAGCAACAATCCATCCTGTCCTGAGATGAAGATAGTTATTAGAATAGTTACCAGCATTAGGATAAGAATTTAAATAACTCCTTTGGGGTTGATGGGGACGAAGCCACAACCCATCTTATGCTGCCATAAAAATGCACCAATAAAGTAAAATTACAAAATGCTGAGAATACAATTTTGTGTTTTCTTACTTAGAAAATGGTAGACTTTCCCTTTGACCTCTAACCCCATCTAGTCTCAGAAGAAAATAGAAATAATAATTTTACTATCTACTTCCCAATTTATTTCAGTACAATCGGCAATGTAATTGAAGAGGGAAGATTAGATTCTGGAAACGCCTAATCTTTCTTGGCCCCCTCCATTCTCTGTTGGAGAGCTGTGTAAAAAAATGTTCCTGGTTAGTGGTAGATTCACCAGCTAGCATGACCATTGACTGTCTTATTCATAGGAAATACATTCTAAAAAGAAAATACAACAGCCAACCTATGAGATAGGTCAAAACTGTAATTAAATCATAATGGATCAATGTAATCACCTTGCACAAAGACAAAATTAAAACTTTAAAATCAAGAATCACTGCCCTATACATAAATACCATGATGGAAAAGAAGAGTGAAGGTAAAGACAAAGGTCTTTTTAAATAATATTCAAATAATATTGTATATATTTAACTGCCTTAGCAAATTGCCACGGAAGATGGGGAACAATAATCAGTGCTTTTACTCCACCTACCTTTATCAGTATCAGTAAAAGTGCAATATACTGTATATATATATCTCTATATACAGTATATTGCCACTAAAACATCACCTACCCGTCATGACATAGACTCCACTAGACCTCTGAAGGTATGCTGTGGTATCTGGCACCAAGCCGTCAGTAGCAGATTCTTCAAGTCCTGTAAGTTGCAAGTGGGGCCTCCATGGATTGGAATTGTTTTTCCAGCGCATCCCACAGATGCTCAATTGGATTGAGATCTGGAGAATTTGGAGGGCAAGTCAACATCTCAAACTCATTGTTGAGTTCCTCAAACCATTCTTGAACCATTTTGCAGTGTGGTAGGGTGCATTATCCTGCTGAAAAAGGCCACTGCCATCAGGAAATACAGTTTCCGTGAAGGGGGTACATGGTCAGCAACAATATTTAAGTAGATGGTAACATCTACATGAATGGCAGGACCCAAGGTTTCCCAGCAGGACATTGCCCAAAGCATCACAATGCCTCCACCCGCTTCCCACAGTGCATCCTGGTGCCATCTTTAGCAGTGCATCCTAGTGCGGTCGGTCACCTTCTCACCAGTTTTCCTTCCTTGGACCACTTTTGGTAGGTCCTGACCACTGCAGAGTGGGAACATCCAAATGAGCTGCAGTTTTGTAGTTGCTCTGACCCAGTTGTCTAGCCATCACAATTGGGCCCTTGTCAATGTTGATCAAATCCTTATGCTTGCCTATTTTTTCTGCTGGCAACACAACAACTTCAGGGACAAAACCATTACTTGCTGCCTAATATATTCCACCCAGGTGCGTCCAGGTGCCAGTGTAACAAGATAATCAATGTTACTCTCTTCACCTCTCAAATGATGAACATATTTGAAAGCCTGAAATATATCAGGTAGAATTGGAGGCTCTGCAAGTCCCCACCACAGTCATAGAAGCACCACACTAGAACCAATATTACAGTAAGTGAATCAAGTGGCCTAAAAAAATATAGATGAAAAGGGAAAATTATAATTTATGAACACAGGGCCATGATGGGGTTTGAGTCTAGAACTTCAGGTCTGCAAAAAATACATGCTATTATGTCACCATGGTGCCCCTTAATAGATGTGTCAATACTTATACATTTACATTAACATAGTCCTACTGGGCAACTTGCTATCTCTCTTTACAAGCAATTTTTGGGGTAAACAAACTGAATTCCAAATATGGATGAACTGCTATCTTGATATTCTTCTACCAGTAACATTTTTTAGAACCTTGAGTACTTCTTTGTTCCTCAGACTATACACCAAGGGGTTTAAAAGTGGAACCAAAACAGCATACAGTAATGAGAGGAATTTTTCCAGCTCTTCAGAATTTTCAGACTCTGGTTTCAGGTACAAGCTAAGAACTGTCCCACAGAAGATGGACACAATGATGAGATGAGAGGAGCAGCTGGAGAAGGCTTGTCGTCTTCCTTCTACTGTATGCATCTTCATTATAGTGGATATTATTTTTATGTAGGAGGTCAAGATTAAGGCAAAAGGCACAATCCCCAAAACCACTATTTCTATAAATATTATGACACTTATTGTCCTGATTTTGCTGCAAGCCAGCTTTAAAATGGTCTTTAAATCACAAAAGAAATGGTTGACATTTAGCGTTATACTAAATGATAACTTTGATATTATAGAAGTGAAAATACATGAATTTATAGAACTGACAAGCCAGGATGTAGCAGCCAATAGTGAGTAAACTTTCTTATTCATAATGAGATGATACTGAAGAGGCAAACAGATGGCTACATATCGGTCATAGGCCATAGAGGTAAGTATGAAAAACTCTGTATCGACACAAACATGAACATTTGTGTGAAGCAGGCTTGGAAGGATATCCGATCATCTCCAGTTAATAGGATATGTAATAGTTTGGGTAGGATAGCAGAGACATAGATAATATCCTGAACTGACAGGTTACATAGGAAGAAATACATCGGAGTGTGGAGATTGGATACAATACATACAGATAATATAATCATCATGTTTGCAGTTACAGTCAACAGGTAGATGATCAGGACCACGATAAATAAAATCTGCCATAAAACGACATAACTAGAAAATGCCAGCAGATGAAAATTGGTTTGATAGATAGTATCATTGGAACACATGTTTCTGGATAAAACATTAAAGTCTTAGTATGAATTTGTTGTTCACTCGATCACCGTTTGATTGTATAAATGCTTTTCGATTCTTCCAAACATTAATAATCTACAATTCCCATAAAACTAATAGAGTTTTGTAATGTATAAATGAATGTGCATGATAATGCACTTGTAACAACACATCTGATTACTGTATGTTCCTGATGCATGGACTGCTTGTACCTTAAGGGGGGAAATCCTTGAAACCTTGTCCTGAGCAATTTAGGTGCCACTAAACTTATGAATTAAATCCTAAAAATACATTCAAAAATGTATCTTATTTGTGTATCATTCGGCTGTAGATCCTCAAATCATCTCGGAATTGGTGCTGATACTGTCCTTCCTTCTGGAGGGGGGCTACTTGTGTTCCCCATGGTTGCTGTGTGTGTTGTAAAGTAGTCACCGCTCCAAGCTTGCTCCCAGGATGGACTACAATCTCTATACAAATTAGTAAACTAAATTGGAAATTGTAGTCCATCAAAGCAGTGAGCTTGGAGCAGTTGCTACTTTACAACACACACAGGGACCATGTCCAAAAAGCAAATCTCATCACATAATCCCATTCAGTCCAGCAACCTGATCTACGATCTATTGTCACACATGGCAAACTCTGCATTACACCGCCTTTCATTCAGGTGTAACAAAAATGTATCTAATCCGGTCTTTTTATGAATGTAATCCTCACCCTGTGTGTTCAAATACTGGTGTGAAAAATTATTTAACACATCAAGCATACGATTATCTGAACGTTCAATGGAAGTCATGCTGGGATGCATGCATATCTGTAGCTTAATGCTATTTATAAGTTTAGGTGCCTGAAATACAAAGACTTTGGAGTCCTGGGAGAAAAATTAAACTAATTAACTTGGGAAATCAGTATTCATATTAAAAACTTGCAGGTATTCACAAACTAAACTATATGCAATTAAAATAATGATAGCCTCACACTGTATTATAGTTGTCAAAAATACAGCATGCTAAACTTTATTGACATTTATACAGTGGCAGACATAGACTGTAGACGGCACAGAAACAGCACTGGTCCCCTTAATGCCTCCCATGCATTCTGTATGTATGTTCAGACCTTCTTAATATTGCCTGACCAAGTCAGAGCCTTTCTTCTTTAGGAACTTTACAGAACTTAAAATTACAGATGAGTTCCGGTTCAGACCAAACCTCATCACCTGCCAACCTGATCTCCTCTCAAAATGTAAGGAACTCCTTCTTTTTCTGTGTCACATTTGCTGTAGAATGTGCTACAGAAAAAGTGACATTTTAGAAAGACAAAAAAAATCCATTTGCCACATAGAGTGTTATTGAACACTCAAACTTTTTTCAATAATGAATCCAGATCAAACAAATATACATTGTCAAGAAAAGTATTTATTTAATTTCTTGCCCAACACTTGCAGTCACCATGTTTCAGAACAGCTCCAACTCTCTTAACTCAGCTTCCATGAACTTCCTGTCCAATATAAGATCACAAGGGACAGAACAATCTCCAGTAACTGTACATCTACTAAGCTGGGAGAAGGGAGAAAGGAGGAGGGAGGAGCAGAGAATTGTCTTGCCCTGCTGTGCCAGTGTGTTTGGGGAGACGCACACAGCTTACTAGCACAGTCAAGGGTGGCTCCATAGGACCCTGCAAGGGTCTCTTTCCCATGATGGTTGATATGGGGGTATGGGGAGTAGTATATGGGTGTAGGTGGGGTAGTTTGCGTGGGGGGAGTTATCAGTGGGGGTCATACAGTCTATCATAGGTGGAGGGGTTGGGAGATTCTCAGTGCGTAGAACACAGACAGTATGAGGGGGACACAAACATCAGTAAGTGATGGACGGGGAATGAGGATAACATAGTTGATATCCTCAGTACCTGCAGCTCTCCATTCTCTGAATCTCTGTCCCTCTAGCCTGCTGATTCCCACACCTCTCTCTCCAGAGCCCATGCTGCCTGGACCTCCAGTCCGTATCTTGCAGCTCCCTCACCGCGTTGCCTGCTGGAAAATGTAGTTCTCTGGCCAGGAACACCCCCGGCTACAGCACCTGCCACATTCCTGAGTTCCATGAACACTGCAGGCGGCATGAGGGAGCTGCAGGCCCTCTTCTTCCTCTCTGGGCTCCCCCAACTGGTGGAACACCAGGACCCAGTCACAAATCCGACCATTGCGACCCTGGTAGTTCTGCCAGTGATGAGTGGCCATCATTGCTTGTGGATCAGCAGGTTCGTTTTGACAGTGGGCTTTGTTCATCACAATTGGTGAGGATCTACATTACGGGGTCATATGATTGATGATGGATCTGCAGCATGGGGCCTTTCAGGTTTTTTTTATATTTTATTAAAGAACTTGTCAAATGTCTGGGTGTCTTTATTGACTTTTCACTATTTTTTGTGACTAAATAGGGGTACTATGTACATGTTGAGGTCTATGTGTCTTGGTATGGTTCAGGAGAGGGGAAAGCATGCTTGCCTTCTCTTCTTTCATGGCCTGCCAGACTGCATGCTCGGAAAAGGGTCTGGTATTGATTTGGGGAGGCCCAGGTATTTTCTTTTGTTTTTGTGTGGGGGTTTCCCCTTTAAATCCATGCCAGATAAGAAGGGTCTGATATGGATTTTGGAGGGGATTCTAAGCCATTTTTTGTGTTTTGTAAATTCTCTTTTAAAATCCATAACAGACCATCGTCAAGGTTAAGGGTCTGGTATGAATTTATTTTTGGGTGAGAACCCCCCACGCTGATTTTTTCCTTTAATTGTTATTTTTGCTGATGTATTATGTACTTCTACTTGATTTACTATATGTTCACGATGTACTATTGTAATGACAATAACAAAGAAGAAAAGCATAATTAAAATGTATGATCAATGACTTTTCCCATTCAGCTTCATTATTTTTGTTAATGGGGACCTCCCAAAGTTCCCACCATAATGCATACCAGACTCTTAAGGATCCGGTTTGTATTTAGGAGAAGGTCTTTTTTAAAGTATTTTTTTATCTGTGTAAATGTCAGTGTTGCTGTAGTACATTGTATACATCATACAAATGCACCACTTCACAGGGAGGCTTACGGCACCTCCCTGGCAGGTTATTTAAAGGAATTGGGCAATTTACATTTTTTGCATTAAAACAGCTGCTTTCACCTGAAAAGATTTTTAATTTTTTTGCATTAGTTTATGTCCCCATGGAAGTGTCCAGCCCACCCATGGCATGTGTTTGACATTCCCTAGCCTATCAGCCAATATATGCATATTACTGATTTTACACTTATTGATTTCAGTGAAGTTTAAAGTTCACCAATCCCACTTCAAACCAAACCTAGGTATGTTCAGCTCTTCCTTATCTGAGAGAGAGGTTTAAGGGTTAATTTAGGTAATACTTATACAAATCCTTTAAACAGTTTGTGCTTTCTTACTTTAATTTAGTTATCATTGGCATTTATTTAGCGCCGACAATTTACACAGCACACATTCACATTAGTCCCTGCCCTCAAGGAGCTTACAAGTTAAGGTCCATATCTCACACTCCTACAGGGCCGATTTGTGTAACGGCCGCCGTCATCCGTAGCAGGACGTCGGGAGCCATAGCACTCACCCGCTCATTGTGCCGGCCGCTTGTGTCCCATGGTGGAGCGCACGCTCGTCACTTCCGGGTTCGGAGGCCGGCTGCGTTCCGCCTTGGAACGCGGAAGTGCGCCGTGGCATGCGGCGGCTCCTCCCCCTCTCCCTCCAGCACTATTTAAACGGCCGGACGAGACAGCATGGCGTTCCACTATTGGGCCAGAACGTCTGCTGTCTCCTGGGACCCTCCATCACCTCCAGCCTTACTGCCAGCACTCTCCAAAGGACCAGACAACCAAGGACCCCCAGCTCCTACCGCTCTGCAACACTACAAAGCGCAAGTACCCAGTGCTGTTGCACTCTCTGCCACAAAGGACTTTACTGTGAAAGCTCCATCTCACACTTGCTGGGGTTTTTCTGTTACATTAGTTACTGCTTTGTGTTCACACTCTGAAAACGCTCCTCGCTATCCCCATATAGCAACAGTTGCTGCTTAAGGTACAGGGTATGAGGAAATAACCCTGACTACACCAATTATCGTTTATTGTTTTGGCTGTGATGCTAGAGACCCTAACTCTCCGCTAAGCCTGAGAGTGAAACCAGGGTTTCGAGACTGAGAAGCCTCCGCAGTTGTGATCCACAAACTCCTCCATTTAAGAGCAGGTGTGACAATTTGGAGCAAGATTAACCTTCCGGCATGTCTTTGGAATGTAGGAGGAAAGCACAGGAAGAACGCCCAAATTCATTGCAGATAGTGTCCCAGTTGGGATTCAATCTGGGGACCTCCAGTGCTGCAAGGCAGTATTTCTTACCACTAAGCCATAGTGCTGTGTCTCATTAAGTACAAAGTTGAAACTCAGACTGACTGGTTAGCGCACTCCTGGGGTGCTGTGGTATGTAGTGGCCGGTGTGTGGCTCCTTTTGTTGTTAGACTCGGGTGCCCAACTGTATAAAACTGAACAAAGAAGGAAAAAGGGAACGGAGCGCGACTGCCTGGTGCAAAATGTGTGGATAGGGAATGTTCAAGGACAATTGGTGAATCAAGATGAATGAATGTGAATTGGTGGATGTGATGTTTGATACTTACATGTGATGGAGAGGGAGGACACAATGGTGGTGAACTTTTCTAATGGGGTCGCTGTGTGTTCAGTGGTGGGACACTCCTGATGATGTGGTTGTGGGGTCTCATTGTTTGGGTGGAAGAGTGTCACAAGGGTTGTTGGGCTGTCTTGATCCTTGCGTGGAATTCCGGACGGAAACCGATGTGGAAGGGAAACAATAAAAATTGTTCAGAATTTCTGCAAGTGTGTATAATTGGATGTGAATTCTTTACTCCCAATAAAATTTGGTGTGTAGCAATATCATCATCAAAGGAGATCCATTGGTGGGTTGAAGGCGTGGAGGTGAGGCACGTTCTGATTCCTGAGGTTGCTGTTCAAAATTGTTTCTATGCAGGTCACATGCACATCATCTCTACAACAGTGACCCGCATAGAAACAACTTTGAACAGCAACCTCAGGAATCAGAACGTGCCTCCCCTCCACACCTCCAACCCATCACAGAATCTCCTTCGACGATGATATCACTACACACTAAATTCTATGATGAGTAAAGAATTCACATCCAATTATACACACTCGCAGGAATTCTGAACAATTTTTATAATTTCCCTTCCACGTCGGTTTCCAACCAGTTTTCCACGCAAGGATCAAGACAGCCCACCGACTCTTGTGACACCCGTCTACCCAAATTATGAGACCCCACGACCACATCATCAGGAGTGTCCCACCACTGAACACACACCAACCAGCATTGTGTCCTCTCCCTCATCATCATACGTAAGTGTCAAACATCACCTCCACCCTCTCACATTCATTCACCCTGATTCATTATTTGTCCTGGGGCATTCCCTATTCATGCATTTTGCGCCAGGCAGTCACACTCGTTTCCCTTTTTCCTTCTTTGCTGTGTCTCATTGTATCTCAGTAAAAAACTTCAAAACTAAATTTTCCTTGCACATTTGCAAAACTTTCAATACTTCTCTGTTTCTCAAACTGTACACCAGGGGATTTAATGCTGGGACCACTGCAATATACAGCAAAGAGAGGATCTGGTCTTGTCCTACAGAGTTTTCAGACTCTGGTTTCATATAAACACTAAGCGACGTCCCACAAAACAATAAAACAACAATTAGATGTGAGGAACAGCTGGAAAATGCCTTCGTTCGGCCGACTGATGTCCTGATCTTCAGAATAGCAGCTATGATGAAAGTGTAGGAAGTCAAAATCATTGTGAAAGGAAAAAAACCAATGAGCCCCCCTTCAACAAATATTATTGTGTTCATGTGAGTGATATCACTGCAAGAGAGCCGCATTAAGGCCTTGATCTCACAAAAGAAGTGGTCGATACTTCTGGAGTCACAAAATGTCAAATTGGATATTAGGAAGGCAAACAATAGTGCATTCAGGAAACCAACACTCCAGGAGGTAAAAGCCAAAGTCAGACATGCTTTCTTGTTCATAATTAAAGAATACTTCAAAGGGACGCATATGGCCACATAGCGGTCAAAGCCCATGGCCCCTAATAGGAAAAACTCTGCATCCAAGCAAACTGCAAATACAAACATTTGTATGATACAGCTAGTAAATAGAATGCTGGTGTCCCCAGTAATTTGGACGAACACAAGTTTTGGCAGGATGGAAGATACGTATATGATGTCCTGGACACCTAGATTACATAAGAAGAAATACATAGGGGAATGCAGCTGTGGAGCTATACACACAACTGTGATGATAATAAGGTTACCGAGCACTGACAACATATACATTAATAAAACCCCAAAAACAATAAGAAAGGAGAAGTCTGACATTCCGGAAAATGCAAGTAAGTTGAATTCTCTATTTATTGTTTTGTTATTACTATTCACGTTTATATGATGAGTGTATGACCAGCTCGCATTCACACTCAAGAACATTACTATAGACATGGTTTGTAACATATATATTGTTCTATTCTTCATATTATCTAAAAGAAAACGAAAAAAACATTAAAAGTAACTAGAGGCAACCAAGAAAATTAATCCCCGTGTATCCAGATTTAGTAAGCTTTTCACTTAGAGGGATTACGGGCTCTTGACCCAATGCTCTGTGGAGCTTTCATTCAAAGTATATTGAAAACCAAAACTTTTCATCAACACCATCTGTTTTGGATCCACTTGAGGCTTCCATTTAATTCATGTGCTGGAGACAGAGAGACAGTGAGACAAAGTTTCTCAAAAATGAGGGCAATCTCTTCTTATCGAGGTGACACCATTAAATTATTTCTTCTCACCTTCTATTCCTGTGATATTTGTATAATTTTGGATTTCCCATCACTTTCTATCACAATGAAAATGAGACACCAGAACAAATAGAAAGGGTCAATCTCTCCAGTGGGGTTAGACCCTCTGCTATTTTTGTATGGCTATCCTCAATGATCAGATTCACCTTTCCATTTGTACTGGTGACCATTGTCACCAAAATAGAAAGTAAGGGGCTATCCACAATTTTTGTTGAACAAGAGATGAGAAGCAATCTTCTAAAGGGGACACTTGTTCTGAGGTCAACTGTCTAATCTGTAAGTAATTTGTTAGTTTGTAAATTTGTAAGTAAGTTTGGGGTGAACATACGCATTACGACATCATTATTCAGTTCCAGTTTAACAAAGCACTGTAAAAAAAATGTTTTCGGAACAGTCCTAAATTCCTAATCCAATGATACAATTAGACTAACCTGCTCCTGTTAATACAACTGTACTGAGATAAAACATTTTTAGTTAAATAAAACAAAAATATTATCCACGGTTGTAATGATGTTGTATAAATTCCAATCAATAGTATATCAAAAGCCCAAACTTTTTAAAAAGTTTTATGAAGAATGTGGAAGGTGCACAATAGAGGTGAACAGCAGAACCTGGGAGAAAGTCATTAACAGCTGGAATATAGGTAGGATGAGGCACTTTTTAGGGAAGCAGTAAGGAGCTTTTTCAGTATTTAACCAACATGCTGGTAAAGCACAGCTATAAAGATATACAGGTACACTAGATATATGGTAGGACTACTTTTGTCACAAAGTCGCATCACTACTGTGTGTTATTGCAATAAGAATCATCTAAATAAGGATACTAATTCCCAGAAGACATTTCAATTAGTGTCTTGTTTTTCTAAAGTATTAACTAAACTAACCATGAGCCGTAACGAGGTCTTTATAGTAAATATATTCCCCAGCCATTCATTTATTATTCAACATTTATTAAAAAAAATATATAGTAGAGAACAATCTAATTATAAAAAATAGCATGGGTATTTGAAAGTTACATCAACTGTAACTAACAAAACTATTTTTTCTAAAGAAGTTCAGACATATGCTGGGCCTTCTCAGGGAAAATATTGTCCTTTTCCATTTATTCTTTGGAAAAAACCCAGCCATTGGTTCAGATATGTAGATGACACTTGGGTTAAAATTTACAAATGAATTACAGGCTTTCACTGACCACATTAACTCAGTGGATCATAATATCAGGGTTATGTTTGAAGCTATGCAAAATAATACACTGGCTTTCTTGGACTGTTTGGTAACAGTTAAAGAGGGCGGGAGGCTGCAAATAGAGGTCTACAGAAAACAAACTCGCACGGACCAAAACCTGCTATTTGACTCCCACCATCCTCTAGGTCACAAACTGGGAGTCATCAGGACTCTACAACACTGAGCAGAGAAAATTCCCAGCAGCACAGAGGCCAAGGCAAAGGAAATAAAACACCTCAGAAGACCCCTTAAAACTTGCGGGTATCCAGACTGGGCCTTTGTCAGAAGAGAAAGAAGGAAACGATAGAATATGGTCATCCTATATGTAGCTGGGGTGTCTGAGAAACTCAGAAGGATTTTTAATAAACATTGCATCCCTCTCTGCTTTAAACCCAGCAATATACAGAGGCAACAACTGGTTCACCCAAAAGACCCAACTCCTAAACACAAGAGGAACAACATTGTTTATGCAGTCCAGGGAAGTGAGAATTGCTCAGAATTTTATGTCGGGGAAACAGCAGTAACACCAGTGTATTGCACAGCATAGAAGAGCCAAACCCTTCAGGCATTCAGGCATGTACCTACATCTAAACGAAAAAGGTCACTTCTCTGAGGACAGTCAAGTAAGCATTCTAGACAAGGAGACATCCTAAACAGATTATGTTCATTGGAGCAACATTCATCAAATTTATTCCCAGATAAATTTTGTACAAGTCATTCTGTATTGAAAAAGCTAGTTGAATGACCAGCAAAACATCTTCAAGAAAAATACAGCAATCGATTTATTTTTTTTACAGAGACATCATCTAAATTAGTTGTAAATCAAATGAGCAAGAAAACATACACATTGATCCTGAACCGCTCTTTTCAACAAAAGTCTATTTTTCAGTATGTTGAAAACCAGCTACAGTCACTGAGGTTGATTTACTAAAGTCAAATAGGCTATTCACTTTGCAAGGAAAGTTGCACTTTGCAGGGGGAGTTTCCTTTAGCTTGGTGAATGAGGTAAAAGGTCACTTTGCAAAGAATACCCAATTATGTGTGTGGCAGTGCATGGCAATGCCATGGAGTAGTATGGCAACTTTGGCACCCAGGACTCTAAGCCAGAGGGGCTGAGAGGGTCCAGAATGTGAACCATTTTATAAGGAAGAACCTGGCTTTTCAGATTCTTCCAAGTTTTCCTATTTGTAGCTGGGATCTGGAGCTCTGGAGATTTCTTAGAGCTCTGGGTGGGATGAGATCTCGAGTCCTGGAGCCGGGTTTTGCCAATGGGCTGATCAGGTGGCTGAGAGCAGCCTCATTAGGAAGCCAGCCCAGTGCTCAGGGGAGAGTTGTGGGTGTGCAGAAGGCACACGACCACAGGCAGACTCTGCTGCGTGCGCGAGCACAAGTGACACGGCCAGGAAGGCTGGAGAGGTCAAGATGGTTGGGGACCCTGAGATACCCGCTAGAGAGAAAGAGAGAGGCAGTGACCCACGAGGGGTGAATACTGAACCGCTTGGAGCTGAGGAAAGCTGCTGAGCAGTGCTGAGGACTGTATTCACAGAGAAATACGGTAAAGTCCTGGGACTATCACACTGGGAGCGTATGGGACAGACAGATCTTGGTGAAACCAAACACGATGTCTTGATGAGACTCCGGAATGAACTGTTATGCATAATTTATGCTGAATAAAGACTGTCCTTTTAGGTTAAAGTCGGCTTCAGGAGTGGTCTCTTAGCGCTTACCGTTGTGTGATATTTCCCAAACTATCACACGTGCAAGGACAAAAAATAATAAAAAAGAGTACTTTTGTTTGCACATGATTGGGTGATGGACAACACAAGAGTTTCACCTCATTCACTAAATTAAGGGGAAAATTCCACTGCAGAGTTCAAACTCCCTTGGCAAAGTGAATAGCCTATTTGCCTTTAGTAAATCAACCCCACTGCTCGGGTATTCTGAGCAGTGGCAAACCCACTGCTGTCAGAATACAATATCCTGGCAGGGAAGATATTTTATCCAAGCAGTTGTTAAAGCAGACTTCACACTAAAAAAAGCATGGTCCACTTACACTCGCTCCTCCCAATGCTAAAAAAAAAATTTTAAATAGCCTGTGGGGGGAATGTCATCTAATATACTTATCCCAGTTACCGCCCATTGCATCTAGGCGAGGGTGATGATGCATTATTTCTGGAGAGATTCCAGAAAATGGAGTACCGGAAATCTCACAAGAAGATGCTCCTGATCTGTGCTGGCATGCCTTCTTAGAGACTTTGGCTACGCAGCAATCTCTGGGATCTCACCAGAAAGAAGGTGACATCATTCCCATTTCCCACTCAGGAATTTGTTTTTTTTTCACCAAGCGTTTCAGCATGGGTAGTGCAAAGTCTACTTTAAGCAGGAATGTAGAGTGATAGTAATGGGTTCTCTACAGTGCCTGTAATAGCTTACATGCATTTCTAAAATAATAAACAAATGAAAGAGCAAACAAAACAATGTACCATCTATAATCATTTTTTAGGTCATTAGTCATTGCCATAATAACCAAAAACATGAGCTCACTAAAAATACAATATGCTTTCTCATTAAAATTATCCTAAAAGGGGAACTTGCCTTTATGTGACTACTGAGCTATATCAACACTGCCTGTCCAAAAAAATAGTCACCACATGGATTTAGCTACGCAAATAGGTCAGAGCCTTCCACTGGATATTAGCTCTAGGTTCAGCAATATTTTATCCCCAAAAAATGAGGTCAGCTACCTATCTGAATATTGTGAATCACCAGGTTTTTCCATCAATGGATTTTTTTTTTCTTCCCTGATGGCATGGGTGTATTCAAAGATGACAATGGCAGGATTCATCGGGCTCCGATTGTGAAAGAGTGGTTCAGGGAGCATGAGACATCATTGTCACACATGGATTGGCCACCACAGAGTCGAGACCTTAACCCCATTCAGAATCTTTGGGATGTGCTGGAAAAGAGTTTACGCAGTGGTCCAACTCTTCCATCATCAGTACAAGATCTTGGTGTAAAATGAATGCAACTCTGTATGGAAATAAATGTTTTGACATTGCATTAGCTTATTGAAACGGAGGCAAGGTGTTGCCATAATCAAGGTTAAAGATTAACGGTGGTCCAATAAAACATAAGAGTGTGTGTTTTTTGAACAGGCAGTGTATATATGGAATGTTACATATGGATGTGTTACATGGATGTGTCACATATGGATGTGTTGTTTATTTTTTTCTACTTTTTAGAGCCTTCAGCACTTCTTTGTTCCTCGGGCTGTACACCAAGGGGTTTAACAGAGGAACCATAACAG